CAAACAGAAAGACTGACCTCATGTCTTGCTTAGGAGACGAGAACGCTGGAGAACCCTGGTGTCGGCGAGCTCCAGATTTCGATCCGGAGTACAGGCATTTGTGGTTCCGATGTCAGCTATTACAAGAAGTTTGCCAATGGCGACCTCTGTGCCTGCCACCCCCTGTCCCTGGGACACGAGTCATCAGGAGTTGTTGTTGCCATTGGATCGCAAGTCAACGGCTTCAAGCTTGGCGATCGCGTGGCTCTCGAAGTCGGTGTGCCTTGCAGCCAGTGCTCCACCTGCAGGAAAGGCAGGTACAATCTATGCAAAAAGTTGAGATTCAGGAGCAGCGCCAAAACCGTCCCCCACTACCAGGGCACCCTCCAGGATCGGATCAACCACCCGGCCAACTGGTGCCACAAGATTCCAGACCATGTTTCCTTCGACTCGGCCGCTCTTCTCGAACCCCTTTCCGTCGCTATCCATGCGGTCAACCGCGCCGCCCCGGCACCTGGCTCCACGGCGCTCGTCATCGGTGCTGGGACAGTCGGCCTGCTGACTGCTGCCATGGCGCGGCAGGCTGGCTGCTCTGAGGTCACCATCACGGACGTAGATGCCGGCCGGGTCAACTATGCCATCACAAAGGGCTTCGCCACGCACGGCTATGTCGTGCCCAACATGCAGTCTGGCACCTCAACTCCGGCCGAGTCGGGCGTCATGACGCCTTCCAGCATCTTCTCAGTCCAGAGCGTGCAGAGTAAATTTGACGGCGCAAAGTCGCTTGCCGCCGAGCTTTTGGCCATTACCAAGGTGCCTGAGTACCTTGACGACGATGACGAGCATGACGGTGTCGATATCGCTTTCGAGTGTACTGGCAAGGAGGTCTGCATGCACACCAGCTTGTATGCGACGAAGCCGGGCGGCAAGGTCATCATGGTCGGCATGGGCACGCCGGTGCAGACACTGCCTCTGTCCGTCGCTCACCTCAAAGAAATTGACATCCTGGGCATTTTTAGATACGCCAATACCTACCCGACGGGCGTTCAGCTTCTGTGCGCAAAGAATAGAGCCAACATTCCGAACCTCGACGACATGGTCACGCACCGTTTCAAGGGTCTCGAGAACGCGTCCAAGGCATTTGAGCTGGCGAGTCGGACGTTTGATGACGAGGGGAAATTGGTGCTAAAGGTTGTTATCGAGGCTTGAGCATATTCGCAATACGTCTCAGACCTGCGGCACTCCTCAAAGATTGATTGGTTGGCTGGCATTACATCCAGCTTATGATACCCTGGTGGCAGAAGGGGGGGAGGGGGACAGGATGAAGAGGTCACCCCATTTGGGAGCGGACGGAAGATGGCGCATATTTACGAATACAACAGGTCGCGAATAGCAGGCTTAGCAGGGAGGGAGTTTGAGGGTTTGCAAGGATACAAGGCACAAAACTAGATAGAATTCACATCAGGAGGTTACTTTTTTCTTTTTACTCTTCAGCGAGCACTTGGATGGACTTTTCGATTTCAAGGGGGGATTTTACGCTTCAACCTCAATCATCTTAAAATACAGAGGTTATTAGACGCCAGTGTGCCGGATGCAACATATCGTGTCGTATACCCTCGTCACTCATTGATCCGGTATTTTTTATTCATAGCGCGAAAACTCATACTCTTCCTCTCAGCTAATGACCATCTCTCTAATCTCCTGTTTCGTGTAGGTGCAGTGTCATACCTTGAACCCTGAACGCCTTGCAGTCATGATGCCATTGTAGAAAATGCATTTTGCTCTTTTCCCTGCCCAAATTAAACCGTTTGCCCTTGAACGGATCCCGTACGCTCAAAACATGATGTCCCCGGCGCCCTGGATACCGTAAGGGCTAGGCCTACCCGTGGGCATCTCCCAGGGTGTCCTATTCCGCTGGTCGCGAGCCTTGGCCGAGTCGACAACGTCGAATTTGCGACCCATGGACCGCACTTCCTGCACGCTCTGCATGACGTCATTGAGGAGGGAGACGAGGTGGACGTCGTTCTGCTCGCATACCACCTCCCTCCGGAAGGCCTCAACATCCGACGGCTCAACCAGGTCCAGTCGGCCGACGAGTGCGTGAATCTGTCGCAAAATGGTATTCGAAGGCGTCGTCTCGTGGTCGCCTGCGGGTTGTGCAGACATTTCCTTGCCCGAGACGTACGCCGCGGGCAGACGTTCGAGGTAGGTCATGATGAGGTGGATGCGTGACAAGAGCATCTTGGTCGCATTCGCCTTGGCCGTCAGCGCGGCGATCATCTCTTCCTCCTCCGGCGTCAGCGCCGCGTCGTCCTCTACCGGGAGGAGGCTGTCGGCCTTTTGCTTGCCCTTCCCGCTGGCGGTGTTGGCGTCCTTTCCCTTCTGCTTCTCTTTGGGGGGCTCGACGGCGGTGGCCGTTCCGCTGCCCCGAGCCACAAAGTCCATGCTGATCATCTCGGCCTCGCCCGTCTCGACTGTGTAGCCCAGCTCGCGGAAGCGGAGCTTCAGCGTAGACTCGCCGTCTTCCATCGTCTTGTCGCCTTCCGTATCGGCGGCCTTGGCGGCGTCGTCGACTTCATAGTTGCTCTCGTACACGGTCAGAGGGAGCTTGCCGCCTACGGAATGGTCGAGAACTTCCTTCGGGTGGAAGCCGAGGAGGATGGCCGACTCGTTAATGTGGTTGAGGATGGTGTTGTGGATATGGGTGAGTTCTTGAGTCGGGCCCGTTTTGGGCAGGAGCGTGTACCAGCCGACAAAGTCGAGACTTCGGTCCTTGTGGACAGCACGCACTGCGTAGATGTTAGCAATGTACGTGTCCGGGCCCAGCTGTAGTTCTCACTCTGCTCTATCCGTCCAAGCACTCTAGGCAGGTCCAGACCGTATTTGTAGGGCGTGTCGGGGGACGGGGCAACATGGCAGTCAAAGGCGTGCTCGATGGTGACTTCACGGCCGTTGTGCTGGCCCATCAGGCCACCAATTATGGGCCACTCATGTTCTCGGAGAGTGTGGCGGGTGATGTAGTCGGAGATGCTGAGGAGCACGAGGGGGTGCAGGACCGCTTGGAGTTCGGAAGACTGATTCGAGATGAGCGGGTTGACCGACTTCAGGCCCGCGTTGGACGACATTTCAAACGGGACTTTGCAGCTGGACAATAGACTATCCCGGTCGAAAGATGGACGCTATGTTGGAGTTGTGCCAGTTCTGACTATCGGCACCTGCTCAGGTCGGCGGAGAGCATCTGAACAGGGACGGGTGGTGGTAGCTGGAGTTGGAGATGGAGGTCTCAAGCTCCCATTTGGTATGGAGCTGCCTGCCATTGCCCCGCGTCCCATCTTCGATTACGTAATATAATCGCGGGACATTGACCTGCTACAGCCATACCTCAAGATACCTTATGCAACTACAAGGAGGCAAGCATGCTGAGGTCCAGAGATGGCCCGCCGGACACTCCGGCCTCACTGGTTTAGGTAGTTTGCCAATGTTATTGGCCGCGGGCAATGTAGTCAAACAAAAGAATAGAGATGAGCGCTATTCAGGTCAAATTCAGTGACCACGCTGAGGTACTCCACCGTGAACTCCACCTTTTTACCTCGCTTTCTATTGAAACTGCGAATGTCCTCCTTCGGAAACCCCTTGTGATGGCATTTGTGATGAGAGGATGCCAGTGCGTGGTATAGAGCAGAGTGAAGAGGTCTTCCACACGTTGATTCCCAATAGCGCTCTTATGACAAAGCAGTGAGCCATAGGAATGCTGCCCGAGACCTTGACAAGGCGCTACCACGACACGCAAGTTCTCGCTCCTGTCCCAGAGACGATGTGCTTGGATAGACATGAATAATTGCCATCGAGAGCGCTTGATTGTCGGTTAGACTTCTGAATAACTCAGCATGGAGACTCTTCCAATCCTTTGAACTCTTCAGAAGTATGGAATAAAACCCAAAAGAGTTGTGACTACTTTTGTCGTTTTCATGGCTGAACGCCTTTCTTTCTGCGTCATGAGATTATCTTGCAAATTCTCAAAGAACCCGGTCAAACGTTTGATCCATGACAACACCCTTCCTCTGCTTGCCTGATAGACTTTGTTTAACAGCATTACCGTGAATGACGTAATAGGAAGCATACATACCGTACAGTGTCATCTGGTTTAGCATCTCTGCAACCGTCTCGCGCTCCACAAAGTCTAATCATCAACCTTCCCATTTTTGAGCTACCTGAACCGTCCTTCAAGAGTTGCTATGCTATTCCGCATTTGATACTGCGGAATTTCTACGATTACCAAGTAAAGTGGCGATGGCAACCCCAACCGGCCCTTTCGTTCTGAGACCTGCAACACCAGCCTCAGTATTACCCGCGAAAAGATTGGACGATGAGCTTCAGATTGTAGCGGTCAACCCTGTGAAGAAGAGAAGGCTCAACAATCTTGGGGTTGCCCCTACACCTCAAGCCTTTGAACATAGCACATCGGTCACTCCATCTCCACGGCCTGCTCTGATGACCTCGGACCCCAAGAGACCCGCCCCCAAAATAGAGCAGAGAATCAGTACTGCGACAGCGGTACTGTCCTCACAGCCTCCAGAACCGCCAACCGCTTGGTCTGCGACAAGAACCTTAGGACCCGGGTTTGGCAAGTTGAATAACCTTGAGACTCTCTGGATCGCGCCAGCCAGCAGCCTTTGCGATTCTCCTCCTCTGTCGCCAAAACAACTGCCGCAAAGATTGTTGCCTGGTTCTACAAGATCTCAATCGGTTCGAGGACTCAATGTTCCAATCAAGAATGAGGGTTGTGATGGGCTTGGAAACCACGCGTTCAGAACCGTGACGGAGAGTCACATGTTCGCAATGACCCCTCCTTATATCACTGAAGCAGCTCCAGACCCAGCAGAAGATGCAATGACAGCCATTTTTTCTGAGGCCACTGAATTTCAACCATATGGTACAACTGAGGCGTGTGATTCGAACGATTGGCTTCTTGAGATCCGGGACACTGAGTATAGACAGGACGGACTACAGCACGAGGTTCGCGTCCCGCCAACCCAGATTGTTGGCCATGTGTCACACGTCAAGAGCAATGACAAGAAGAACTACCACAGTCAGTCCTCCATGGGTCTCATGTGCCAGTCACCACCCTCTCAGCCATTGAGCCTCGCGTCCAGATTGGACTTTGGCCGCGGGACCAGCTTCCGTGAGTTCGACCGCCCCCAAAACAACGTGGAACAACCTTCGGTGGCACCTCCAAACCCATCGACAGGCCATGATGCAGCAGCTAGTTCATATAATACTACCTCAATGAAAGATCACAAAGATGGGCCAAAAGCCCACGGGACTTGCATGAAATGCCTTCAAGCCAAGCTCCGGCAACGAGCAGCAATGTCGGCGACCGAGATGCAGTCCTCTCTGGCAACGGGCTCCTTTCAGGCCTCGAGCCTGGCGCAGCCAGCTTGGACACCAGCATTTAATATGAACGGCACAGCGAGTGGGAACATGATGCCGGCTGCACATGGTCAATCGATACCTTCGCACTTCATCGCCGGACTGGTGGGCTCCGCTCGACAATCTCAGTTCCTTGGTCATAAACCTCTTGGCCAAAACAAGACCAGACCTAGTCCGTTCTTTTCATCAACGGACAATATTCTCGGTACCCGAAACTCACAGGTGCCGATTCCTTCGACTCAGGGAACGACTAGCGGTAAACACTTGATTGTCGATATCGCAGACACATGCGCAGAAGTGTTTCCTTTTGAAGCTATCGCTAAACGACACCACCAGCCCGTCCAGAAAGTCAGGGATGTCTTTAACGCCATCATACAGGTACCACTGCTGCGCTGTCCAACGGACAAACGAAGGGCGGGTAAGCTGGGCACAGCTCGATTGAAGGATTACACTCAGGCCAAGAAGAGAATAGTTCCAGACAATCAAGACCGAGGAGACAGGCACCGGAAGCTTGGTCAAGGAGACCAGTACTATTCAGCTTGGGATGTTGCAAAGTTACTCGGCCCGACTGACGCACAACTGGGACACCATTTCGATTCCGCTGGTCCTTGGTAAGACGCCATCAATCTATAAAATTAACCTCGCGGTCTTGTACGGAAAGGCAAGATGGAGACAAGACATGCAAAGTCTCAATTGCGTCCGTCGCAGCCATTACGCACATTATTTTTATGATACTACATCGATTTCGTCCACAACACATCGCTTCCTTTGCGATGTTGGCAGAGAGCGGCATTCGTTGCGCGCACATGTCGAGGCAGCTCCATCATGAGATGCTCAAGCCTCGTCATATCCTCCTGATTCCCTGTTCTTTTGGCATGGATGTATTGTGTCATAAGCAGCTCATGGCGACTTTCGTAGGAAACCTTCGTCCAGTGTTTGAGGGCACCCTGGTCGCACGGGGCGCATGTATCGTTGATGCAATTCTTCGTCACTCGCTGTGTTTTGCACCTTGATGTCTTTTTGCATATGCTGGTTGATTTAAGAATATGGCCGCAACCCATTGTGGTTTCGGTTATTCGACACATTCTATAAGCACAAGTTTTTGCCTCTTCGTTTGTTTGACGCTCCGTCGACTCTGTTGACGAAGGTTTGCTGCTTGAGAGCTTTATAACTTTATAGCTCTTGGGTACGTTGAGAATAGAATACATTGGATTTTGCAGGTTGTCCGTTTGGTGGTTTCTTTGTTAGTGATGATGCGTTGTGTTTGGCCAACCCCATTGATGTCATATTAAGTCTGTGTTAGAGACATGGCTGCATTCAGCACAGCTGTCCTGAAAGTGTACTGACCGACATCGACATCCCGGCAATGACAGACTTTCTAGACCGAACTTCATGTGCAAGAGAGAAATGAATCGCACAGCACACCCAGGTAGGACATGCACGTCCAATTAGTGGGTTTTGGTCTTTTTCGCCGAGCAAACCCACGAAGCTAATCAAGCGAGATCAAGTGACTACAGCCGACAGAAAGAGAGGAGGCTCTCGAAAATTCCACACATATAATGTCGAGGTGAGGACAAAGTCTCAAGATTTGAGGCAAGACCAAGAGCCAAGATGGTCGGCCATTTCTTGGAGGGCCGCTATCACCTTGTTATCAGTCCAGAACAGGACTAGTGCGGGGTATGAATCGAGAAATTTCGTCTCCGCCAGGCACGTCCAGCAACATCAACACGAATTCAACAACGGGCCACAGCTTCTCAGACGACAAATCACGATATTGCCGACTTCGAGAACATCGGTCCAAGCCTAAAAACCCCAAGAAACCTCCGAAAAATCATTTCAGATCATCATAATGGGCAAGAAGAGGGAGAGAGACGAGCAGAACCCTGCCCATGACGGCGACAAGATGGACGAAGATGACTCTGAGGATGACGTACGTTCAGCTCCCTGACAAGGTCCGTTGGCTGTCAAGCGCTAACACATCGGTTGAGTTTGACGTTGTGAACGTCGACTTCGAGTGGTTCAACTTTGACGCCGAAATCGACTTCCACGGCACCAAGGCTCTTCTCCGCCAGCTCTTCGACGTGGACGCCGTCAAGTTCAACATATCCGGCCTCGCAGACCTCATTATTTCCCAACCCACCATCGGCTCAACCGTCAAGGTCGACGACAAGGCGAACGATGCCTATGCCCTCATGACAGTTCTCAACATGCACGAGCACCGCGACAAGCCGGCGTTCGCCGACCTCACCAAGTACATCATCGAGAAGGCGCAGACGAACGAGGCGCTCGCGCCCATCCCCGAATTGCTCACCAGCGGCGCTCAAGTCGGTCTCGTGCTCACGGAGCGTCTCATCAACATGCCGACCGAGATCGCGCCGCCCATGTACCGCATGCTCATCGACGAGGTTGAGGCTGCCGTGGAGGACAAGGAGCCGTACGAGTTTACACACTATCTCGTCCTCTCCAAGACGTACCGCGAAGTCGAACCAGAGGCTGAGCTACGCACCGAGCGCAAGGGGAAGAAGCAGAAGGGTGCGGATGGGTCCATGTGGTACTTCCACCCGGAGGATGAGGTTACGGCCAAGCACGCTGTCGCTCACGGCGCTTACTCTTACTCCCACGAAAACGAAGGCTCGGCGGAGAGCAAGAGGGCGTTCCAGGAAATGGGTATCAAGCCGCAGGGTTACTTGATGCTCGTGGAGGCGAGCAAGTGGAAAGGGGCTGTGGATGCCGTAGAGCAGTATCTCAAGCCGCAATGAAGAAAGATCCACTCGAGGACTACCAGCGCTTTGTTCGATTTTATTTTCTTTCCTTTTCATCGCTTGGTGGGGTGGGGAGTAGTAGGGAGGGGTGTGCGTAGGAGCGAGCGTGGGGAGAGAGAGAAGTGTGCGGTAGTCGTAACTGAGACAAGGAAGCGGGTGGAAGTAGGG